TCAACTCCCAGAATTCTCCAGCCAGCAGAGCTTTTTTAGCCTGGTCCCACTTATCTTTATTGGTCTACCTCAGTGGTTCCCAAACTTGGCAACTTTGAGACTTGTGGACTTCAACTCCCAGAATTCTCCAGCCAGCAGAGCTTTTTTAGCCTGGTCCCACTTATCTTTATTGGTCTACCTCAGTGGTTCCCAAACTTGGCAACTTTAAGACTTGTGGACTTCAACTCCCAGAATTCTCCAGCCAGCTCTGCTGGCTGGAGAATTCTGGGAATTGAAGTCCACAAGTCTTAAAGTTGCCAAGTTTGGGAACCACTGGTCTAGAGCAAAGTTGAGAGCATTAGGGGAAGATTGGGCCTGTCCATTTAAAGAATATCACATCTGTATTTGTACCAACCCATTAAACATTTAGTTACGTGCATACCAGTGGGGCAATTCAATTGTTTTTACTACCGGTTCTGTGGGTGTGGCTTGGTGGGCGTGGCAGGGGAAGGATACTGCAAAATCCCCACTCCCACCCGACTCTGGGGCCAGCCAGAGGTGGCATTTGCCGGTTCTCTGAACTACTCAAAATTTCCGCTACCGGGTCTCCAGAACCTGTCAGAACCTGCTGGATTTCCACCTCTGGCTGGCCCCAGGAGTGGGGATGGTATGGGGATTTTGCAGGATCCTTCCCCAGCCATGCCCACCCAGCCATGCCCACAAAACCGGTAGGAAAACCACTTGAATTTCGCCACTGCTTCCAACTCTATAATTCTAACAAAACAGTGAGTTAGAGAAACACATGCCACCGTTTGGCCTGGCCAAACATTTGGCCAGAGATGGCACTGAAACCCAGCCAAATGCCAGTGGATCAAAGAATCCCCCCCCCCCAAAATCAATTACTCATTTCTTCCCATCGATGTGACTCGCTGGGGTGCCAAACGGTGCGCAGCGCACTCAGCGGCTGCCTTTCCTTTGAAGCTGAATTCGGAGGGCCTGGGGCATTAATAATCCAAAGTTTTGCGAAGAAATCAAAGTAATTGATTTCCCCCTTGCTCAGGGAGGAGGCACCAGAAGACATCCAGGCATCCTTAACCAGAACAGGAAGCTTCTCATTAAGGTTCCTTTATGGAGAGGGTTTTTTTAAAAAAACTTCTTTATGCAAATGGTATTGGTGTGATTTGCATACAGCTGCAAATCTTGCTCGCCATTGTCAAAACACCTCACAAGCCAGTTTTAAAGGCATGGACAACTTTGGCATTGAAAAATTAGTAGAAACAACAGTAAGCTTTGGGAGATGATGGCATTGATGAGAGGGCTTGTGAGACAACTCCTCCTTAGCAATTTTTTGGAAGGATGCTGGGATGGGTGTCATCTGATGTGCAGCAAGAAGCTATGGTGTTGAGTGGAAGCCACCACAGGAAAGCACATCCTTTCTCATAGATCAGCCTCCATGCGCCCAACTGGTCTATGCCAGTTGAATGGGCAGTTTCTGCTCGGAAGAGAATCTGGGAGTCAAACCATTTAGGTCTCCCAAGTTTGAAGCCAACACTTTGACTCCTACCATGGGCCCATAGAGATGACCTTGGAGAAGGTTAGGACAATTGGTGTAGAAGGACGGTGTGTTTAGTTCGGGGGGATAGGAAAGTATTTGACTGATTCTCTTCAACTCTCTGAGGTGGAGGGGAAATGGAGAAAGAGAAGAAGGATGAGGAGGAGGAGGAGGAGGAGGAGGAGGTAGAGATGGAGATGGAGGAAGAGGTGGAGGTGGAGGAGAAGTGAGAAAGGAAAAGGCTCAGATTTCCTTTCTTTCTTTGCACCACTTTCCAGCAGGGGTGACACCAATTGCTTAAAGAACAATTTGGAGTTGCAAGGCAACACATCCAATCAAACAAAGCAAACAGCAAAATTATCCTGGAAAACAAAAAAAAACAAATATCCTCAGCTGAACCAATAATGCAAAACGAGAGGCAAGCTGACTTTATTGA